TAGTAGCTTCTTTTACCCCTTGTATGTCAGACGAAGGAAAGGTCATCAATTACTACTTGTGGCTTACTATCTATTCAATACTTGGACGATTTGAATTCTCCAAATCTCAAAAAGGACGATGACCGCTGCTCTCCCTTCAATTGTGCGTGGGTTTTTCACCTCAAGTATGCACTAATTTTTCCACTCTAGTCAAGGAAAAATAGAGGCTTTGGTTCGCTTAAAATTGTGAAATCGATTTAATTTTACCTTTTTTTTTATTTATTGGTATTCGCATATTCCCTGATTACAGTGCTTATGATTGTTTAATTAATTGATTATCTTGGATCCAGATAATTAGTTAATTTAATAATCTATTGTCAATTGAGACGTTAAATCCGTAATTATTTAATTATCTCAAAATAGTGATAACTGGCATGACTGGATTTGTGTCAGGGGAATACGTGGGCTAATCTAAAATAACCCTGGTAGTGTGTTATTTGGTTAGAATAGGGTTCCTCTAATACGTAAGGCAATTGAGGAATTAAATCTTACGGGCGTACCTAATATTATTTCTCAATTAGAGCAGTGATTAACGGGCGTACCTTAATCACCGACACAGTAAGGAGGGGTTGACTGCCATCGCTTGTTTGGCAGTTATAACCTATTTATTAGTAAATAATTGGAATTGCCTTTATTTCGATGATCAATTAGGTGAACCATTGCTGAAGTTATTCCTTGGCTAGATCCTTTGATTTTAGTAAATTGTTATTTAATTTCTAGTTGGCTATTTTATTTTTATTATTTTACTTTTAGTTGAATTGCTTAAATTGTCACCCCTGAGATAAAAACGCCCCCTTGTCACTGTGGATTCCTAAAGAAATAATTACTCCCAATCCCTGTGGATTCGACCCTGCTCACCGCTATCTACAGAAATTACTTTTACTTTGAGCAAGTTTTATTATTGCACAGGCTGACGACCTATCAAAGTGGAAAGTGGGGGCAAAGACCAAAATAAAGCTAAACGGACAAATTTAATGTCATCCCAAAGTATTGTCTTGAGTGTAATTTATATCAACAAAAACCAGTGCCTTGCTCTAGTTTAAGTCATGATCAGGGTATGCAAGGAACAAAAAAAGTAAAATTGAATAAAATGAAAAAATTTCTACTCCCTCTAGTCATATCATGAGTCTTGGATAATTTAGTGTTAACTAGTCCAGACTATTATTCTATCCATTAACTCAATCCATTTTATTGCATTTCAAATAATAAGCTATATGAATTAATATCAACAATGGTAAAGGCTACAAAAATAAAACATCGTTTGAGTTATGGTGATAGATAAACTGAGATAACAATCTCCACTATAAGAATAACTAGTTGACAAGGCCTGATGCTGCCCTGGTTTTACTTGTGAAATGTACGAGGACTGGCGGAAGTTGGCTAATGATATGGTTAAACGCATCAGCCATAGAAAATATTCAATATCTTAAGAACTTGAATGAATATCCCCCTAAGGTATAACCACTTTTGCACTTTGTCCCTAACATTATATTTTCTCTTTTTATCTTCTAAACCGTTAGTCAACTTTAATATTGTGTAATGATGATGTCAAAAAGATATTTATACCCCTAAGAATTAACTGTGATAAATTGCTTTAAAGTATAACTTGTTTTACACTTTATCTCCTAACATCATTTTTTATCAATTTGTTTGTTTGTTACTATAGTCATTAGTGAACTTTAATATTTGATAACTCCTAGGACAATTAATATCTAAAAAATCAATATTCCTAGCATAATAATAAAAAAATAGTTTTATATATATTTGGTTCAAGTTAAATTTCATTCCATAATTTCACTTTTTTTAAGATTAAGGAGAATATCTTGCTAATTTGATTTAATAATGGGAAAGACAAACAAAAATTGTTATTAAAAATTAAAATGTGAAAATATTTTTAAAATCCAAAATGAATGGGATATTGTCAGTTTCTCTTTGGAAATATACATACATCTAACCGTTTCTATTAGTAGCTAGATTTGGAGTTCAATGTCCTTTCGACATTTTTGTTACGCAGTGTTAGAGTTGACTAATTGTTTAGGGGGGTAAAGTGAAAAAAAAATAATGTTAGAAAGAAAAGTGTAAAACTTGTTAAATCTTAAGGGAAGTTATTGTGATTAACTCTTTATTATATGATCGACAATATCAGATGTTAGTAAAAAATAATGATTTAAAAAATATTTCTCTCATTTCCCCAACAGACCATATTGATCTAGGTTTGTCAGGTGATATAAACAAGGTGCAAAAATGCCTTGATTCGATCTTTCAAGTTGGACTGGGATGTTCCAAAAAAATCATCCAAAGATCGCATGGACATGCAAGAAATCACAAGGAATTACATCCCATCAGAGATGCCTTTCAAAAATGTTGACTAGATACCAGCAGTCAGTGGAGCTTTTGAAGTACTTCTAGAGTCAAATTAATACTGATAAATTGCAATAAAAACTTGGATAATATATATGCGTTAGTGCAGTTTGAAATGCATAAAATGCATCAATGTTTTGATCATTGCGGAACTTTGATAGATGAAGATTTTCCTTTTCCGTCTATTTTTCTGGTGCAAAAGCAGCCGATAGTCTAGTGAAACAACAGCAGCTCCGGAATAAGCTCAATTCACTAAAGCAGTGACTGGAAACAAAGGAAAGTCTAAAAATTAAGGATAAAATACATATAACCCCCTGTGGTTCATCTATTGCCACATGACCTTCATAACATTTTAAAATATCCACTTCACCCCTATATTTATATAAAGTGAAAACTTGACAAAAAGTAGCTTGTGTAAATCGTTAGTTGAAATACCAATAGTATCATTATTTAATTATTAAATCAATTAATAACTTAACTACCTTGTGTAAAAGTATAGGGAGATTATGCGTATATATACATAAATCACAACAGGGTAAACTAAATATTTATAAACCATAAGGGAGTTACATGGATGTTAAGATTTTATCACACACGTTTTTAAAGCATGTTTGATATAAATGTTGTAACTAATTGCACATTCTATCCATTTTTCACTTTACATAAAATCACAGAGGAGTTATGTAGCTATTTTAAAACCTTAGAATAATAAGTAATTTATCCAAAAATTAATCATCTATAAAATTGAAAAAGATTACCGAGAAAATCACTTCTTAAATTATTTTATATCTATAAAGAAGAACTCCAGTGAGATTTTTGTTATTGATGAAGATTTACATCAGGGATTTCAAATCTCACCACTACGCATATGAGTTGTCAGTTAATTGGGATAATTTCAAAAACCTCCCCTGAGGTTTGTAGGAATATCACTTGGTACCCTTGAACTTTGAGAAATTTTACTTATTTCCCTTATTTTTAAATTTTTGTAACATTATCAACCCATTTAAAAACAATATTATTAAGAAATTCATATTTGGAGAGAGGAAATGTTTTCATACCAAAATTGCCCTTGTGTTGTCCTAATATTTTTCCAAAAGTGAACATATACTACAAAAGCTTGAAAATAAAGACAAATAGTGTTAAAGCATATGTACAATAGAATAAATTATACCCAATAGGTTTTTCTAAGGCACAAAAGATCACTATTTAAGAGTAAGTTTGACGTACTTTAGAAATATATATATATATTTCATTCACTGTAAAATGATTTTGTTAATTTGAGGAGTTTTATAAATTTTAGAATTTTGAACTTTCTAAACTTTTTGTATAAACATTTGACTTGAACATTAGAAACAAAACAATGTCTAAAATTATATTTACAAATTCATTTGAGGTATTTTTAAAAACATAAAAGTAACTTTCTTTATTACGAAGTATTTTTGGGATGAATTTAGAATTTTTTTTTTAATGTTCTAACTTTTTTGTCCAAATTAATGGCTTGAAAACAAGAGAAAGAAAAATTATTAAAAATATATTTAGAAACTTATTTGAGTATTTTCAAGGTGCAAAATGTTATTTGTGTATAATTGTAACAATTTTTCCTTTTACATTTATTTATTGATTTAGTGGCTAAAATTAAAATTTCAAGAATTAAAAATTTTTGGTTTAATTCTTTCTTTTGCCCTTTTTTATTACTTTTTAAATCCTGTCACTTCCCCGTCTCTCTGCTAAGACAGTAATAAAATAAAGGGTTAATTACATTTACCTCCCTGAGGTTTGACCATATTACCAATTAATCCCTGTAATTTGTCCAAATAACGGTTTCACCCTTTGAATGATCAAACATTTAACAAAAACTCCCTTAATGCCGAAAATGCTAAGACAGTAATAAAATAAAAACACGTTTAAATTGGCGCTTCAGACTAATCCTATTGGGGAGCACATAAGTCAGGGAATTCCTTTTTTGTTCTTCTTCTTTTTCCTTGTTTGGCACATCATCACAATGCTTTCGATAATATTTTAAAGCACTAGTCTAAGCCTGGCCAGAAACCTGTTGACCATCTCTGCATTTAACGCATAGAGATGAAGTTTATCTCATTTTCCTAGAAAATATGCCAACAAAATTAAGTCCCATTAAGACCCATGGAGATGGGGCTCTTAAAAAGGTTATCTTTTTTTGGAGCTGCAGAAAATAAACTATCATGGCAATCCCTGCCTCCATCTTTAATAGTTCAGCCATTACTACCATTTCAGTGGGCGGCAATTCCTTTCATGGCAATCTCCCAACCAACATAGGTCTCACCCTACCAAATCTACAAGTGTTGTATGTCGGGGGCAACAACTTCTAGGGAAACTTTCCATCTTCAATCGCTAATGCTTCTGGGCTTGAGATACTTGATCTTCCCTATAATAAGTTCGCAGGCCAAATTCCAACTAATTTAGGAGATCTGACAAATCTTCAAAGATTAAATCTTGACACAAACCTCTTCGGCGGTAATTCAACTGGAGACTTAGATTTTATTGCATCATTGACCAACTGCAGTGATCTAAGCAATTTTTCCATGGGTTACAATAAATTTGGAGGTAATATACCTAGAGTCATGGCCAATCTCTCAAATCAACTCGCAGCATTGTACTTGGGGGGAAATCAACTGTCAGGAACTATTCCAGAAGGGTTTGGAAACTTTGTCAACCTATATCTCCTTGGCCTTGAATTCAACTATCTTTCAGGGGTCATTCCAAGAGATTTTGGCAAATTACAAAACATGCAAGGTTTGAGTCTGTACCAAAATGAATTGTCAGGACAGATAGTCTCTACTCTATGTAACGCCACCGGTCTATACGAGCTGGACCTATCAATCAACCAGTTTGAAGGGGGCAATATATTTGACAATGTTCTTATAAACTGTCAAAATTTGCAATAGCTGGATATATCTCAAAACAACTTCACTGGAATTATATCACCACATTTTCTGCAGACGCACTCATCACTGATGCATTTGTCCTTAGGTGAAAATTCGTTTAGTGGTTCTCTGCCTCCTGAAGTTGGAAAGCTTATACATTTGGTGGATTTCAATGTTTCCCACAACCAACTTGCTGGAGATATACCCATATCACTTGCTGAGTGTTCAGATCTGGCGAATCTTTCCATGCAAGCCAATTTTTTCCAAGGAACAATTCCACCAAATTTGGCTTCTTTGAAGAGCATCCAGCAAGTAGACCTTTCAAGTAATAACTTGACCGGTCCAATACCCAAAGAACTGGAGAAGCTTCAATTTTTGAGGTACTTAAACCTTTCCTATAACGACATCGAGGGTGAGGTACCGAACACCGGAATTTTCAGCAATGCGAGTCAAATATCACTGATTGGCAGCAACAAACTCTGTGGAGGCATTCCAGAATTGGAGTTCCCACCTTGTCCACTGATTAAGGGCAAAAACAGAGGAAAGCTTAAGGTTCTCATATCGCTGTCCATTGTTTTACCAGCAACGCTTCTGGTTCTCGGTGCACTGTTGTTATATTTCTTGGTATATCATAAAGGAGAAAGAAGAATGGTGGCAGGATTCTCTAGCATGCCCGCAAGAATCGATGAGCTCTTACGGCTTTCTTACCATGAACTTCTTCGTGCAACTTCTGGATTTTCTCCAGAGAACTTAATTGGTTCGGGAAATTTTGGATCTGTCTACAAAGGAAGGCTAGAAAAACAGGGCAACAAGCTTGTAGCAGTCAAAGTTCTTGATCTTCAAAAGAACGGGGCTTCCAAAAGTTTTAAAGCCGAGTGCAAAGCATTGAGAAATATTCGCCATAGAAACCTCGTTTCTATCGTGAGTTATTGCTCCAGTATTGATTCCAAGGGTGATGAATTCAAAGCTCTAATCTATGAGTTCATGGAAAATGGAAATCTGGACTTGTGGCTGCATCCTTCAGAGACAACTGATCAGGCAACAAGCTCAAGAAGTCTTAATCTTCTTCAGAAGCTAAATATTGCAATTGATGTGGCTTCAGCATTGCAATATCTTCACGACCACTGCGAAGCTGAGATTGTTCATTGTGATCTAAAACCAAGTAACATTCTTCTTGACAATGATCTTATTGCTCATGTGGGTGATTTTGGATTGGCAAGGCTTCTCCCAAAACCCATCAACACTTCTTCCGAGCAAAGAACCAGCAGTACCATTGCCATAAAAGGATCTATCGGTTATGCAGCTCCAGGTAACTATAATTTACAACCTTTTTATGGGCAAGATGTTACTTAATTGTGCACAGAAATATAGAACTTTTGGGACATTTAATTTTTTTTTAATTTTTTTTGTTATAATTACTATGAGATCTCTAATCACCGATGCATAGTAGCTAATTTTAATTAAGTCATTTTGTTATAAAAGAAGGTCCACTATGCCCCAATCTAACATTTGATTAATTTTAATCACTTAGTTTTTTTTATAGTTTTTCTTTTACCACCCAATAATAACATGTCTTGAAACAAAATCTCAGAGTATGGAATGGGTCTTGCGGCATCAACTCAAGGGGATGTCTACAGCTACGGCATTCTTTTGCTAGAGATAATTACAGGGAGGAGGCCAACAGATGATACATTCGTGGGTGATCTTGATCTGCATAACTATGTTAATGGGACTTTGCATGAACGAGTTTCTGAGATCGTGGACCCGTTGCTTCTTCTTGAAGGAGATGAAAACAGAAATATGACTCCTGGAGAGGAAACCATTAATGGTGGAAGAGAGATGGAGTGCATTATTTCCCTATTGATGAAAATTGGACTCAAGTGCTCTGCAAGATTACCAAATGGTAGGATGCATATGAATGAAGTTGTCAGAAAATTACATCTCATTCAGGATGTTTTCCTTGGTGTCAGGGTGCCTCAAGAAAATTTTGAAGCTTAATATCTACAGGTATACTCAAGAATTTAATACAGCCCACAAGTTGAAGTCCATTTTTTTAATATTACGTAAAGAATTTTATTCTTGACTTAGGCTTGCAAGCTAAACTCGTTCTACCAGTCAAAATCTATTTCAGTCCAAACCAAAAAAAAAAAAGGCAAAAGCTATGTGTTGTGCTTACAAGCATGGAAAAAGATGGCTTCTCAAACTAATGCATGAATTCTTGATTTGCAGCTGCTTACTGGTCTGAATCTCCAAGCTGAAGTTGTTAATTGGGTGAGATAATGAAGAAGACACCTTTGGCTTATTATTTGAGAAAAAAAATAAATGGATGATTCAAACATATTCCTATAGTCTTTCTTTCTAAGAATTAGATGTTCTTGAAGGCAGTCAATTGGTTCAATTCTGTTTGAACATCTTAATGCTTCCATATTATGCTTGGATAGTATGCAATACATTATACTTACAATGCGTAGTCTTGCTCCCACTTTCTTTGAATTTTGATTTTGCTACTATATGAATTTTGATCAATTGTACAATAAATTCATATGTTCCCTTATTACCAGATCCATGTATTGCTCAATTAAGTCATCTTGCCTCTTAAAGCTGTGGATCTTTCCATGGTGGGGTTCATACTTTTATGCCATATCTTGATGATTTTGAACGTAAAATGTTAGTCGGGTTGAAAGAACAGTCAAAGAAGGAAGTGAAGGGGAAGGAGAAATGAAAAGAAAAGATAAAATGTTAAATAATTGGAGGAACTGCCAAGAAAAAAAAATCAGAAGGGAAAAGGATTTTTTAGTGAACAATTTATCCATGTGCAAGTCGTGTCCTCTGGCTCTGGCAGCCCAACTTAGGGTCAAAATTCGCGAGAAGCACTAATTGCAATTGGGTAAGGTATCAATTGGGAAATGGGAACATTCTACCATCGTGGTAAAAAAAGACTCCATTAGCGGGGAGAAAAGGAAATCAAAAAAGTGTATAGGGGGCAAACTGCAATATTTTGACAAAACTTTCCTTTTTTTTTTCGAGGGAATGTTTTGACAAAATTAGTTTATGAAGCAATGTGAAATACCAACTTATATGAAGGTGGACTTTTTTGCTTTGATAATATCATTAAGTATTAATCTTTTTTACACTATTAACTGCTAATGTATGTATTTACGAGTTTAGATGTATGTCACATTTATCTCAGTTTGAATTTAAATATCAAACTTTGCAAGTATCTAAAACCTGCTAGCCTATATACCAACAATGATTTGTTCGTTAAACAATCCCGTTTTTAGCTTGTCAGTTTGAATTAAAATATCAAACTTTGCAAGTATGTAAAACCTTCTAACCTATATAGTAACAATGATTTGTTCATTAAACAATCCTATTTTCAGTTTGTTTGAAATCACATTGCTATTTAAGCTCTTACTTGTGTTAATTCCACTATGCACTCTTTACTCCAACTTAAACTACGCTTTGCTCTCTAAACTATAAATTCCGTCCAACTTAAATACAATTCTTCCCGGAATGCTCAAAATTAACAGAATAATTCCCATATTCGGTTAACTTATCATTTTAACTAAAATTAACCAGATGTATTGGGACATAAATGTCAATTCAGAAACCCTTAAAACCTCTTAAAAATCAAACATTATTTTCTTTTTCTTCTTTTGTTCTTGCATTTCTTCTTATTTCCTTTTCTACTACCTGACAGAAGGTACCACCATCGCCAACAACATACAATTGATAGCTTAGCCGAGTCTAACACCAAAATCAATAATATTCGTATCTCTCCATCATTGAAAACCAATATCCACATAATCATCCGCTGCAAAACGTATCCAAAGGAAATTAAAGGCCATCCATGCTCCCAAAAATGCTTCGATCTCACACTCAACATTACCCACAATTAATACAACCCTACCTTCAAATCTAGCGGCACCTCTGCTTCAAATTTCCACTTTCAATGTACAGCAGAAAGTCTAAATATTCTGGAAACCCACAAAACCATGGTCAAACCGTAGACAATCCTTTAATCACCACATATTTAAACCCCTTTATCGAAAAAAAAAGAAAAATCCCAGCTAAAAGTATTATTCTCAACCAAAACAACACGATGGTGATAATGTTGAAGAACAAGAGTCATTTGCGGTCAATGTCAAAATTGATGACAATGGGGTGTGATATGACAAAAAAAAATCAATTTTTCGTAACTGCATCTGACTTTTAGAATTCCTCGACTAATTTTTTTTGGTTTAACCAATTTTATGGATAACCTAGGTTTGAAAATTCTAGCATCTTTAGATTGGTTTCGTGGTTGTTATTTGAAATCTTCAGTACCCTTGAACCTTAGTGACCGCAACTTTTCATCTCTGCTAGTTGGATGTTAAGAAACTTGTCCAGAAATCACTATTCTAGACACTGCTGAAATTTAAAATGCCTTATCTTCGAGTTTAGGCCTATATTGACGGGCAAGACACTGCTTGCGGCTTGGATTTCAACAAATTAGAAATTTTTGCCAAATTTTTGGAGATTAAAAATTGAGTTGGAACGGTGAGAGAGTTAGATTATTGGGGGGGGGCTGGTGAGGAGTCGAACAAGGAGAAGGGACCATTAAATTAAGACGAACAAGAATGAGTAGACGAAGGTACAACAAAAGAATCGTCCTTGGATTGAGAGGATTTTTTTTTTGTTTTTTTGGGTCTCATGAATTTACATTTTTGTCCTCAAATAATTTTGTTTCATTTCAGTTACGCTCATAAGTGAACGGAATGTGATAATTATTATTCTAGTAGTATCAGTTTTCTTTCGCGTTCCGTCTAAGAATTGCATTGAAGTGAGACGAAATTTATAATTTAGGGAGTAGAGTGTTTCATTTTTAAAATTGAAGTTTAAAGGGCGCAAAATGAAATTAACCCTTCTTGCTCCCCTTCGTTCTTGCTTTCCTGCACCCTCAGCTTAACTCATCTTTGCTAGTACAAAAATCCCAGCATCCAACTCTCCCTCTCATAATTCTTCAACTATATATTAACCGATCTCAACTCCGCTCCGGCGGTCGTTTTTGGACGGACGTTTCCCGAAGCTGTATGTATGCATCAATGCCTGTTAATCTCTCCATAGATTATCCATGGAAGACAAAGAAACAGAGTTCCTCTGTAAACTCACAGCAAACCATCTCTTTTTAGCCCAATTCGGGTGCCTATGAATGAGATAGCAAGAAAATTAGATCTACTCAAAGATCTGGCATTTGCTTCAAATCAGATCTCGGGGTCGGATCCTGTTCTGAGAAGCAAGGAAAATTTTCCTTACTAAATTTGACGCCGGATATGATTTGCTTCGAGCCAGATCCCAGGACCGAACTCACTTTTGAGAACTGAGAAGTTTCTTTTGATTTGATCTGACTTTGGAGTTTGGACTTACGGTCAGATCCTTGTTAACGGTTAAAATTCATTAAAATTTTACCACCAAATGATGCCTCAACTTTAGACAATGATTCTGATCACTTGCGCTTCTTATGTAAATACCTATTCACATGGAACAAAACTTTGAAATTTTTTTTGATCAATGACTATAAGATACAATTCTTGAATCATAACAATTCTAACTGTGCAAGATCACATAAAGGATTGATTTACTGCAGAAAATCATTCTTCACATTTTAAAACTACGCTCTGTTGTTCTAATCAGTCCGTTATATTAGTGTATATTATAGATAAACAAACTTTATCTTATCTCAAAATATATTTATCATTTGCAATAGATATTAATAGTGAACAAGTATAGCTTAAAGAAAAGTGGATACTGTAATTTATGATTTTTTTTTCAGAACTGTAATTTATGATTTGAAACCTTTTCTATCTTTGTCCATCTCCCTAGTATTTATAGGAGGAGACTAAAGTCTTCTGGTCCTTGCAGAGTAGACATGATGCAGGGTACTAAAATGCAAGTTTAAAATTATAGACTTAGAAAGTAAGTCAACAGCAACTGTTTGGTCCTTCCTACCAAGTGGTTGGATGAAGTGGACAAGTCACTTAGTAGACTGACTGTTGTAGACATGAAAGAATAATAAATTGTGGTCCACGAATATAGAAATTGGGAGAGTATTTAGAAATATTGACGACCTAAATGAGACGCTAGAAATACTTTGAGAAAAGTCTAAGAAAGTGTCTCTAGTTTCAAGAGTTTTAACTTTTTTTAGGCGTTGAGGGTCTACAAATTGAATAATCTCCGTGTGCTCAAAAATTGTTGGTAGAAATTTGAAAAATCTCCGTATGCTCAAAAATTGTTGGTAGAAAATTGAAAAATCTCCGTATGCTCAAAAATTGTTGGTAGAGAAATTTCTTCGCTGCTTCTCCCAAACACACAGTTTGTTTGGATAAGAGTTTATTTGGATGATTTATTTGAGATAATTACTGTAACATTTTTTATGATATGATATATGTGAAATAAAAAAGTGATTGAAAAGATAAAAAGATGATTGAAATTTGTGAAGTAAATTATTTTGTTTTAAATTATCTCAATCCAAACACACTGAGATTCTTAACTGAAGTAGAAAGGGAGGCAAAGGACCAAAACAAAGCAAAACGGACAATGTCATCCCAAAGTATTTGTCAGACTGTAATTTATTTCAATAAAATCCAGTGCCTTGTTCAAGTCATGCTCATGGCATGCAAGGAACAACAAAATTAAATAAAATGAAATAACAAAAGTACCAACTCTCTCTAAATAGGGTCTACCTACAAAAAACGATTCTAAATTACGGCATTCTTAAGTAATAGGTACAAATACAAAATTTTCTAAAATCAAGGAAATGAACAATCTATTAATTTATTTCTGTTGGTTAAGTCGTTGTCGTTTAGTATAGGATTTTCCCTCTAAATATATCATGAGTGTTAGATAATTTAGAGTGTTAACAAGTCTAAACTATTATCCTCAATGTGTTAGACACTTATGTCCTTAACTTTTAAACATCAAATTAAAACTTTTTATAGTAATATCTTTTCTAAAGAAAAATATTCACACCCTAATCTTTATTGTGACTTTTATATAGAAATTCCTATTTTTTTAACGTATCTTTTATATAGAAAACAATTTCTTATACTACAGGGGCGAGGCGAAAGACCAATGATAAGATAACAGGTGATTATCACTTCTCATGTAAGAAACTTGCGAAAATTTGTTCATTAGCTTGCCAAGTTACTTTTCAGGTCAATAGGAATTGTTTGGTCCTTCCTAACAAGTCGTTGAGTGAAGTGGACAAGTCATTTAGCAGACTCACTGTCATAGACATGAAAGAATAACAAATTGTGAGAGTATTCGGATTGGTTAATATTGACGAAGTAAATGAGGGGTTAGAAAAACTTTGAGAAAAGTCTAAGAGAGTCACTCTAATTGAATATTTTCTGTATGTTCAAAAATTGTTGATAGAGAAATTTCTTTGTCACTTCTCCCATACATACACATTGAGATTCTTAACTGAAGTAGAAAGAAAGGCGAAAGACCAAAACAAAGTAAAACGGACAATAATGTCATCCCAAAGTATTTGTTGGAGTGTAATTTATTTCAACAAAATCCAGTGCCTTGTTGAAATAATGCTTAGGGTACGCAAGGAACAAAAAAATAAAGTAAAATGAAATAATAAAAATATCAACTCTGTCAAAATAGAGTCCACCTACAAAGAAGTCACTTCAAATCACGACATTTTTAAACGATAAATACAAACAAACGTGAAAATTCCTAAAATGAAGAAGGTGGGTGAATTATCCATTAGTTTGTTTCTATTTGAAACCTTTTCTTTCTTTGTTCATCTTCGTGGTATTTACACCAACAGACTCAAGTCTTCTAATCCTTGTAGAAAAGACATGCAATGTACTAAAATACAAGCTTAAAATTATAGACTTAAAAAGTAAGTCAACAGCAACAATTTGATCCTTTCTAACAATTTTTTGAGTGAAGTGGAGACTATTTTTTGAGTAACTTTTTTTTAGACATTATTTGTTTTGAGTGGTACAAAATATTAGAATTGACTAATGATTTTAGGGACAAGTCGACAAATTAACAGAAAGATGATATTACAGGGTGAAGTTCAAAATAACTATACCTTAAGGGGATTTACTGCAATTAACTCTCAAGGGTATCAATATCTTTTTGACATTTTCGGTACGCAATGTTAGAGTTGACTAACAATTTACTCATAAAATGAGAAACAAATAATGTTAGAACGTGAAGTGCAAAAGTGGTTAAACGTTGAGGGAAGTTTTTGTGATTAACCCTTTATTATATGATCGACAATCTTGGATGTTAGTCAACAATAATTATTCAAAAAATATTTCTCTCATTTTCCCAACAGACCATATTGCTTGAAAACCATGGTCCTGATCTAGCATCTAGCAATCAAATGAGGAACGTTAACCAGAAATCAAGTTGCACACCAAGTGCAAGTACTAAGTGTGGTCTCGAAGGAATCCTCAATTAATCACTTTTTTCTATGATTCTAGTCGAAAAGTAGTCAGTTAACGGATTCTGGAAATTATATGGATGCAAAATGGTCAACTACAAAAATATCGACTTGAGAGCATGAAATATGATGAATTTATCTAATCTAAACAGCTGAGTAGCTTTTAACTCATGATCACTTTGTCGTTAATAGGAGAATAGAAGTTCCAGTGGCTTAGGATCTTCTGTACCTGAAAATGATTCATCAACAGTGCACAATGAATAATTGCACTAATCACGATCATAATGAATATTCCATGAATTTCTAATTGTTATGAGAAAGAATTTGTGCAGCTGCGGGCCATGTGTTACCAGGCAGCCTTAGTCAACCATATATGATAGTCTTCACCAATTATTGTTGTTGGGTAGTGCTGTTCAATGTGTTATGATTTTTTAGGCACAAAATACATAAATGTTTTGATCATTTGCAACCTTTACAAACCAGAATTCTCTTGCGGTATGGTAACTGACAGCTAATACATGAATTGGAGCGTTCCTTTTCTATCTGTTTTACCTGCTGTAAAAGCAGTACTAAATTTTCTTCTGGGATAACGCGATTTAAAAATTATCTTGTGATTTACAGCTGCTCCACAACACAAACATGTGAAGAACTTGTGACCAAATACTACTATGTTTGGCTTCATTGCAGGGTTATTACCATCATCATCGGGGAAAACAAAATACATCAAAATTCTGAAAAAAAAAACCTGTCTAGCAGTGATACGTTACTTGGAAAAATTTCTGCTTTGAGTTTACTGCAGAGTGCGGAGTTGTTTGCTAAATGAGAATGAGGTTATGATTTAGTGGATCATTAATGCATGTTTCAAGATTTAAAACAGTAGGATTTTGACTACAAACTGACCCTTTCTTTATTGATGAACAAAAAAAAAAAGAAAAAGAAAAAGAAAAGAACTTTGTTATTAATTCTAAGTTTTAACTGGTTTCATGGACTTTATTGTTCAATTAAGAGGAAAAATTAAAAAATGAACAAAAAAAAAACATAAATAGAGATGCAAAATGGTTAACCACAAAAATATTGACCAGAACGCGATGAATTTATCTACTCTGAACAGCTGAGTAACTTTTAACTCATGAGCACTTTGTCGTTAATAAGAGAATAGAAGTTCCCGTGGCTAAGGATCTTCTGTACCTGAAAATGATTCATCAACAGTACACAATGAATAATTGCACTAATCACGATCATAATGAATATTCAATGAATTTCTAATTGTTTAATGAGAAAGAATTTGTGCATGAGGAAGAAAGATGATCCAGCAGCTGCGGACCATGTGTGGCTTAAATGATAGTCTTCACCAAGTAATTTTCTGTTTCATTAAAAATCTTGGGACCACCAAATTGTTTCATCTCTCATGTTTCTTTTTTTTAAAAAAAAAAAAAAACTTTTTCTTGTCTATCACACATTCTAAAATGAAGCAAATTAGCTTCAGGATGACAATCTGATATAGATTTTAGGGATAGCATTGGAACATTACTTTAATTTTTTTTTTTCTAAATCTAGCAGACACCAGATATGCACGTATTACATTAAGTCAACATTTAAAAAAAAGAAAAAACTAAAAATTATAACTTAAAAAACAAACCCTTCTTTTTTAAAAAAAATTAAAAATTTTTGAGAAAATGGCATTAAAACAACATATAAAAAGGGAAAAATTGGGAACAGATTAAACAGAACTCACTAAAGCCAACAGACAGATTCTAGCACATCAAGATTCTTGTGATTTGTGTTAATTGGTAATCCACACAAATGAAGGCTTCCTGTTAATCATCATCTATGGTAGATGATCACATTAATCCCAGCTTTGAAAAGTATTAGTCATGGTCGATATGCGTAAATTGCAAGTTGGTGGAAGCTTACTGACCATATCTGTATTAAGTTCTGACAACGAGGTTTAGCTCATTTTCCGCAGAAATATACCAAGAAAATTAGTTCCAATTGTGTGGGCTATACACAAGATTCTATAACAGCTCAAACATTATTGTTCCCATTCCGCAGAAACTTTTATCATTCTATCATCAGTTTGTAGCCAATCCCAACAAAGACCATGTGGGGACTTCGCTCATCGACATTAGCAAACATTTTTCTCCTACTCTCAGTTGCCATGAACTTTTCAGTAAGCCATGTTTCAGCTTCTAAACAATTTCAAAATGAGACCGATCGCCTGGCTCTGCTTGAGTTCAAGAATCAGATACATGACGACCCGTTTGGAGCGCTGAATTCATGGAACCATTCACAGCACCATTGCCGGTGGGAAGGAGTCACGTGTAGTACTCGACATCAGAGGGTCATTGCCTTGACTCTAAGGCAGAAGCAGTTTTCTGGAACCATATCTCCTCAGGTCGGAAATCTAAGCTTCATGAGGTCCATCCAACTTGGGGAGAGTCAATTCCATGGCGGGATTCCCCAAGAATTCGGTCGCCTCTTCAGGCTAAGAGTCTTGAACCTGTCACATAACGCAATCAGTGGAAAAATCCCAGTAAACTTGAGCTACTGCTTAGAGTTGATATATATTAGCCTAACGGGGAACAATCTAGAAGGAAAAATTCCGATTGATCAGCTGAGCAATTTGAAGAAGCTTAAGCGAATAGGTTTTAACAACAACAATTTGACGGGAGAGATTCCCTCTTCCATTGGGAACTTATCATCGCTGACTTCACTCAGTCTTGCCTTTAACAATCTGGAGGGAAATTTGCCCATGGAAATGGGGCTCTTAAGAAGGTTATCTTTTTTGGCAGCAACAGAAAATAAACTATCTGGTATAATCCCTGCCTCCATCTTTAATAGTTCAGCCATTACTGCCATTGCAGTGGGCGGCAATTCCTTTCATGGCAGTCTCCCAACCAACATAGGTCTCACCCTACCAAATCTACAAGCGTTGTATGTCGGGGGGAACAACTTCTATGGAAGCTTGCCAACTTCAATCACCAATGCTTCTGGTCTTGAGATACTTGATCTTCCCAATAATAAGTTCGCAGGCCAAATTCCAACTAATTTAGGAGATCTGACAAATCTTCAAAAACTAAATCTTGACACAAACCTCTTCGGCGGTAATTCAACTGGAGACTTAGATTTTATTGCATCATTGACCAACTGCAGTGGTCTCAGAATTTTTTCCTTGGGTTACAATAAATTTGGAGGTAATATACCTAGAGTTATGGCCAATCTCTCAAATCAACTCGCAGCATTGTACTTGGGGGGAAATCAACTGTCAGGAACTATTCCTGAAGGGTTTGGAAATTTTGTCAACCTATATCTCCTTGGCCTTGAATCAAACTCTTTTTCAGGGGTCATTCCAAGAGATTTTGGCAAATTACAAAATTTGCAATTTCTAAGTCTATACCAAAATGAGTTGTCAGGACAGATAGTCTCTGTTGGGGAAATCGGGTAATTTCCCACTCAAAAATACAACTAGTGATTAAACCGATTCAGTAATTCCCAGATAAGATCGTCGAAACAATTTCCTTAGACAGAATTACCATTCCAAGTAAATTCCCAGGAAAGGCTGGAGGGGTCACAAGCGGTCCCACTTAAAACCCAGTCTCCTAGACAGAACTTACGTGCACGGTGTATTATCACAATATACCCGTGTATACATAAATAATACGTACACACGAATAAGAAAAATACACCCAAATGAACCGTATAATATACTACAAATATACCCGACAAATATAGACAAATATATTGAATACTATACTACAATAGAAAAGAAACTAATAAATAAATGCGGAACAAATAAAAGAGATAAGGAAAGAACGCACCCGAAAATTGATAACGGAGTTCGGCCAATTTGCCTACTCTCCGAGCACCACTCAAGCGACCCGCTTTTATAAATTTTGGGAGAGAAGAAAGAATACAAAGAATTACAAAATCCTTTTTGGTGTAATTCTTTTGTTTTCTTTTCCTTTTGGTACAATTTAATTGGAAGGACTTGAGAGCTATTTATAGCTCTCAAGCTAAGGTTCTTCCAATAATCCCACCGATGTGGGATAGACATTAGGCCACCAAATTCAACAATTGTTGGCCTTAGAAAGGTCAACAATTAAGGCTTGAAGAATTCAAGACTTTGAATTCAACAAATCTCCACCTTGGCATAATTTCTAATCCCACCCAAAAAATACAAATCTTCTCCCTCAAACAAAAAATCAAACGGTCCTTGTGGCGCTTCCAAATTTGCGCCGTCAGGCGCCAACTCAAATGTGCAAGATATTGACCAAGTTTAAACAATGTTCAAACTTGGACCTTGTTACCACCTTGGTCAGCATATCTGCAGGATTCTCCGTAGTCCGAATCTTCTGGAGAATAATCTCCTCTTCTTCGAGAATTTCCCGCACATAGTGATAGCGAACATCAATGTGCTTCGTTCTTGCGTGCAAGACCTGGTTCTTTGCTAAGTGAATAGCACTCTGACTGTCACAAAACACGTCAATGTGTTTTTGACCAACTCCCAAGTCTTCAAGCAATCCTTGAAGCCAAATTGCCTCCTTCACAGCTTCTGTAATCGCCATGTACTTTGCCTCCGTTGTTGACAAAGCCACCGTTGACTGTAAAGTAGACTTCCAACTAACTGGCGCCTTGGCAAATGTGAACAAGTAGCCAGTCGTAGAACGTCGCTTATCCAAATCACCTGCATAGTCAGAATCACAATATCCAACTACACATTGACCAAGTGATTTATCCTGCTCAAATACTAATCCAACATCTACGGTATTTTGGATATACCGTAGAATCCATTTCACAGCTTGCCAATGACCCTTGCCTGGATCATGCATAAACCTGCTTACCACACTAACTGCCTGTGAAATGTCGGGTCTCGTACACACCATTGCATACATCAAGCTACCAACTGCATTAGCATACGGGACTTTCGCCATATATGCTCGCTCTTCATCCGTCTTTGGAGATAATAGGCTATTAAGTTTCAAATGAGGAGCAAGCGGAGTACTTACAGGTTTTGAATTTTCATTCATGCCAAAACGTTGTAGTACTTTCTTCAAATACTGCTTTTGTGTCAGACAAAGCTTGTCTCTCGTTCTATCCCTACTTATCTCCATGCCGAGAATCTTCTTGGCTTCTCCCAAATCCTTCATCTCGAACTCTTTACTCAACTGAGCCTTCAATTTATCAATTTCAACTTGGCTCTTTGATGCTATCAGCATATCATCAACGTACAAGAGTAAGTAGATGTAGGAATCATCTCGTAGCTTGCTCAAATACACACAGTGATCGTATTTGCTTCTTGTGTACTTCTGACCCATCATGAACTGGTCAAATCGTTTGTACCATTGTCTCGGTGATTGTTTCAATCCGTACAACGATTTGCTCAGCTTACAAACCCAATTTTCTTTACCAGCAACTTTGAATCCATCTGGCTGAGTCATATAGATTTCCTCCTTCAAGTCACCGTGAAGGAACGCGGTCTTCACATCAAGTTGAGCTAGCTCCAAATTCAACTGCGCTACCAAGGCCAACAAAATTCTAATAGAGGAATGTTTAACAACTGGAGAAAATACCTCATTATAATCAACTCCCTCCTTCTGAGCGTAGCCCTTAGCCACCAATCTTGCCTTGTAGCGAACATCAATCTTGTCAGGAAATCCTTCTTTCTTTGCAAATATCCATTTACATCCAATTGCCTTCTTGCCCTTCGGTAGTTGTGTCAACTTCCACGTATTGTTCTTCTGAAGAGATTGCATCTCTTCTTCCATAGCATCTTTCCATCTACCATCTTCTGTACTTCGAACTGCTTCAGAAAATGTGGATGGAACATCATCAACAACTGGAAGTGCATAGGCCACCATGTCAACAAAACGAGCAGGTTTATGAATTTCTCGTCTTGCCCTATTGACGGCAATTGACTCTTGCTGCTGTTGAGGTTCTTGGGTTGAAACCTCTTCCTCATCTGACTCTTCTTCTGTCATGGGAGAGTCACTGAAGGTGCTGTTTGTTGGGCTCACCATTATCTGCTCAAACTCCACCTGCTTCGGCGTACACTCCACCTGTTGCGGAGTACCACTGGTTCCATCTTGTGTTACCTTATTCAACATGGCAGTTTCATCAAAGGTAACATCCCTGCTGATAATGGTCTTCTTTGCTTCTAGACACCACAAACGGTATCCCTTAACTCCAGCATTAAAGCCCATAAAGAGAGCTTTCTTTGCACGTGGATCCAACTTTGATTCGTTTACATGATAATATGCAGTAGAACCAAAAATACGCAAAGAATCATAATCTGTTGCAGGTTTTCCAGACCATACCTCTAATGGAGTCTTGCCACCGATTGCAGATGATGGCAAGCGATTGACGAGATGTTGAGCGTATGTCACAGCCTCAGCCCAAAACTTTCTGCCTAACCCAGCATTAGACAGCATGCAACGTACTTTCTCCACTAGTGTCTTGTTCATACGTTCTGACACCCCATTCTGCTGCGGTGTTTTTCTAACTGTGAAGTGTCGAACTATGCCACATTCTTGGCATATCTTCTGGAAGGGATCACTCTTATATTCTCCACCGTTGTCTGTTCGGAGAATCTTGATCTTTCTTCCCGTCTGGTTTTCAACCTGAACTTTCCATTTAAGGAAAATCTCTAGCACCTCATCCTTACTCTTCATAGTAAACACCCAAACTCTTCTGGAAAAATCATCAATAAAAGTGACAAAATAATACCTGCCACCAAGGGATGGAGTCTTGGCAGGTCCCCACACATCTGAGTGCACATAATCCAAAATACCCTTGGTATTATGGATACCAGTGCCAAATTTCACTTTTCTTTGTTTTCCCAGAACGCAATGCTCACAAAATTCTAATTTGCAAACTTTCGTACCTTTCAATAATCCTTGTTTGGCAAGATTTTGCAAGGATTTTTCACCAGCATGTCCCAATCGCATGTGCCACAACTTTGTTGCTTCCGCATCCTTCTTGCTACTGGAAGATGTTGTTGCTGCTGCTGTCCCAACAACTGTACTACCTTGGTAGTAATACAGATTATTCTTCCTCACACCTTTCAACATCACAAGTGCTCCCGAAGTTACTTTAAGAATTCCATCTCGCATCTTCACTTCCAGGCCTTTTGACTCCAAGAGTCCCAAGGAGATGAGATTCCTCTTCAAATTCGGCACGTACCGAACATCCTTCAGGATTCTGGTGGATCCATCATGATTACGCAGCTTGATTGAACCTATCCCAACTGTTTTACATGGATTGTCATTTCCCATGTACACAACTCCACCTTCAAATTCTTCAAATTCAAAGAACCACTCCCGCATGGGAGTCATATGGTAGGTACAAGCTGAATCCAAAATCCATTCATCTGGATGGGATGTTAAAGGTGATACAGCCAAAGAGAAATCTGATTCCGCATCACTTTTGCATTCTGCAATATTTACGTCTTGCGGAGCTTTCCCTTTTTTCTTCAACTTTGGACAGTCTTTCTTCCAGTGCCCTTTCTCACGACAGAAAGCACACTCATCTTTGGCAACTCTGCTTTTCGATTTGGACCTTCCTCTTCTCCCCTTTGATTGGCTTTGTTGACGACCTCTTGCCACTAACGCTTCATCTGCTGCAGCTACTTTCTTTTTCATTTTATCCTGCTTTCTCAATTCACGACTATACAAAGCAGAACATACAGCATCTAAAGACACATTTTCCTTCCCATGAAGTAACGTAGTTTCCAAATGTTCAAATTCATCAGGAAGGGATGATAACAACATCAAAGCCAAATCTTCATCTTCAAAATTTACATCTAAATTAAACAGGTCTGCTACTAATTGATTAAACATAGTGATGTGTTCATTCATAGTAGTACCTGGTTGGTAATCGAAACGGAACAATCTTTTCTTCATTAGGAGTTTATTCTGACCACTCTTCTTCAGAAATTTCCCCTCCAATGCCCTCCACAATTTCCATGCAGAAGTCTCGTTCTTGAAAGTATATTTTTGCTCTTTGGACAAACACGATCGAATAGTTCCGCATGCCAACCGATTTATGGTACTCCACTCCTTCTCTTCTATGTCATCTGGTTTCTTTTCTTCAATGGCAATGTCAAGACCCTGTTGGAAAAGGGAGTCCATGACTTCGCCTTGCCATATGCCGAAATGGCCAGTACCGTCAAATGTCTCCACTGCCACCTTTAAACTTGACATTGGAATTCTCGACCATGTGGACGAGGAAGCCGATGCCCCAGATACAATTCTTGACGTGGAATTGTCAGATGCCATTACAGACTCAAATGATAGTATTCAATATAACAAACTACAGACAAGCCAAAGGACGAACCTTCGGCTCTGATACCACTTGTTGGGGAAATCGGGTAATTTCCCACTCAAAAATACAACTAGTGATTAAACCGATTCAGTAATTCCCAGATAAGATCGTCGAAACAATTTCCTT